GAATGCCTTTAATGAGAACTCCAAATAATTTAACTTAGCTTTCTTTTCACTTCTAATAATCTATTTCAGATATATAATAAGACATAAAAAACAATATAACTACCATGTAGTCTCCAACCATCTTAGAAAATAATGCAATTTAAGTCCCTTGTGTACACCTTCTCAATCACATTTCTCTATATTCCCTCAAAGACAATCAACATCTTGAATTTATGTTTATCATTCCCATGCATGTCTTTATACTTTTATTTACCATCATTTCCAAACACCTGCTATCTTGCCATCCTCTACTGTAGAGGCTGTAACCCTAAATGCTTGACATCTAGCCTCTCTTGAAGATCTGAGAGGCCATAGACACAGGCATTTAATGATGTTTAGGTATAAGTTCTGGCTAGTGTGACATTTCCCAAATGAAAAGGTAAAGATTTGCCATAGACAACATTTTTGCCCTTCATAACGTTTCCTTTCCATTTTTCCAACTTGGAACACAGACATGGGGCTGAGGTAACTATCTTGACACCATAAGGTGACAAGATGAAGTCTATGCTCCCTCATGGCAGAAATGAAAGATGGAAATAGCCTGATAGCATTGTTGGACTATAGCACTCGGTTAGGACTGCCCACCTCAGACCCTTGTTGCATGAGGCAAATATTGGATTTCATCAAATCTAAGATGCCATGATTGTAAGATACACTATTATTCTACATACCACTAAGAAAGAGAACAAATGCTGACAATTAAACAATAATATAATGTTTTCTCTTTACCTCAATTGTAAATGACAACCTAATTTTACAGATAAGAAAATTTGAAAAACGTGTTTCTTTTTTCTGTTCTTTTCTCTCTTTTTTTGGTGAGGAAGATTGGCCTTGAGCTAACTCCTGATGCCAATCTTCCTCTTTTTGCTTGAGGAAGAGTGGCCCTGAGCTAACATCTGTGCCCATCTTTCTCCATTTTGTATGTGGGTCACTCCCACAGCATGGCTTGATGAGTGGTGCAGGTCTACGCCCAGGATCTGAACTGGTGAACCTGGGCTGCTAAAGCAGAGCACATTGAGCTTAACCACTACACCACTGGGCTGGCCTCAAAAAACATGTGTTTCTAAGAGTCAGTAAAATGTATTTTTTTAATCTTCTTTTTTAAATCGCCATTAGCTGAGGTTTCAAATTCTTGCAGCTGAAGTTTCCTAATTGATATTATACTATAATAAATAGACAAATTGAAATTGAAATTAATGTATCTGAAAGTAGCAAAGGAAGGAAATCAGGTTTTGCTAAGAAAGTTGCTTTTTGCTGTAGGTCAGCAATCCAAGATGGCTGAGAGTCCAGAAATCTGCAGGCATATTATGTCATACAGGGGTCAATTTATTGGCAGATTTATTCTTTGCCCTTTTCTGATCTGCTCTGCAGTACTCCAACCTATGTTCCCCAGCCTTCTGGGTGAGCTAGGTCCAGCTGAGTTTAGCCAATGAGATGCATTGCCTGGAGAGTGGGAAAAGACAGGAGAAGAGAATTGTATTCCTTCTCCTCCTTCTCTGTCATGAGTGGCATGTCCATTAGGAGCTGAAATTTCTCACTGGATGCAGCTTCTGCCAGACAAGCCAGCCAATGCTGCAGCATCTGCTTAGTGATCCTGGCCCCTTGTCATTTTGTCCTTCCATCCAAGGAGTGGTAGTGGCGTCCTACTTGTGCACATCTCAGGATGACCTCACCATCCTTTATTTGGCTTCTCAGCTCATCCATCACATGTGTAACCAATTCCTTGCATTAAAGTCTCTCTGACACTTGGACTGTTTGAAGCGGTTTTTGTTTTCCTGACTAGAAATCAGTGATACTTTTTAAAAAGTTGAATTCTCAGTTCTAAGGTAAAGTTACTGCACACCAAGTCAAACAGATGGGAATCATAGCAGGAGATATGATTGGGACTTGAGAAAAGTCTAATTCTGTGGGTCCCTTCTCCGCGCCTAATGTCATATACTCCCTGAGGAAGGGGCTATTGTTCCCATTGTAAAATGCAGCCGGCATGCATCCTGAGGAAAGAGGAAAGTTTTTAATACTTCTGCTCTCCAGGCCACTGATTTGAATGCTCAGAGGCAGGATAATCTTTATTCTTTTTGTTCAGAGGATGTGATCTATACATGTTAGTTTCCCTTACAAATGGAACTCTTTATTGCCATTATCTTTTTCTCTCTCCACTTGGATATGTTGGGAGTGGATAAACATCTTTTGGGCTTAGATTCCTGGTTCATCTTCACCCGGCAGAGAAGAGTTTACCTCACCTAGATGTGCTGGTCTAGGAGGTGGATGCAGGAAGTAGATGAGATCTGGATAGCCTCCTTATGGGGAGGAGGTGAGTGTGCTTGGGTTATTAATGAGATTTTGAAATTTGAAATACAGGAAAAACAGTGTACATGGAAATAGAGCAGCCAGAAAAGGATAGTAGGCATTCGTGGTTTTATTTTACATCCCTTTCTTTCCCTCTTTTTCATTCTTTCTCCCTTCCTTCTGCCTTTGCTTCCTTCCTCCCTCCTTCCCTTCTTTCCTCCTTTCTTTCCTTCCTTCCTTCAATAGCAACTTGATTTTCCTTTGGAAAATCACCTCCTTTCCACTCTCAGTCCACATGGTTTGGTGGTATTAAGACTACCTTTTCCTCCAGGAATAGTCATTGGACTCAGGCCCGGCCAATCAGAATGCTGCACCTCCCTGGTCAAAGTGATGGTCTAGGGATGTGCACATGCCCTAATCAAAGCCTCTGGGATGCAAAGTTGGATCTTTTGAAAGGGAAAAATTCAATATTGTTCTTTCTGGACTTGGAGTTGTGAGGATGTAAGTCTGGATCTTCTGGCAACCATCTTGGCACCATGAGAGAAGGGCCTGGCTGAGAATGGAGCCAAGACACAGGGAAGTGAAGGAGAGAGAAAGAAAAGAACTGATTCTTGACAACATTGTTGACCTGCTGGATTCAGCTATGCCTAAACCCAGAACTAGCTCCTAGACTTTTTAGTTAGGCCAACTAGTAAATTCCTTCCTCTAATCCTATATTTCCTTTCCATCCTTCTTTCTTCCTTTCTCCTCCCCCTCTTTTGTTGAAGAACCATAAGTATTATAAAAAGCATCTGTCGGGGGCTAGCCCTGTGGCCAAGTGGTTAAGTTTGCATGCTCTGCTTTGGCGGCCCAGGGTTTCACCAGTTCAGATCCTGGGCGGGGACCTAGCACCGCTCACCAAGCCATGCTGAGGTGGCGTCCCACATAGCAGAACCAGAAAGATCTACAACTAGAATATACAACTATGTACTGGGGAGCTTTGGGGAGAAGAAGAAGAGGGAAAAAAAGATTGGCAGCAGATGTTATCTCAAGTGCCAATCTTTAAAAAAAAAGGCATCTATATATTCCTGCACATCCTGGAGTTAAAGATGACTTAAATTTGATAAAAAGGGAACTTAAGATGTATTTATATAAACAAACAAAAGCACTCTTTTAATATTACTGCATGGAGGTCAGGGACAACGACATTTGGTTTTAAAAATCTAAGGTCAGTGTGTTTTCTTAATCCTCATGGTAGAATGTTTTAGTTATGTTATTGTCACCAGTGAAGTTGACACTAAGGCACTACATGTACTTTGTCTATGACAGAAGCTTAGGAAGTATATTTAAAAGATGTTACACTGCCATTTACAACCCATAAAACTTCATTAACATATACCCAATGGAGTACATTACTCAAAATGTTGGTTTCCTCCTCTCTAGTAGGCAAATACTTTCTTTATGAAATTCTATGATCTCACCGGAAAATGACCATTTCATATCACACCCAGCTTTTGATCTTCAGGACTTGATTTATACTTAGTCAGTGGGCACCTATGTCATCGACACTGCCTGTACCTTTGTCTATAGTCTAGTTCTTGCCTACTTATGATGAAATCTCATTTTCATAAGATTTAATTTTAAAGGAGATGGCTGCTTTGTTAAATAAAGTTGACTGACAATCTGAAAAGTTTCAAAAGCTTGAGTGAACAGTGATTTCTTTATCTTAAAAATGATGCTATTGAGTCTCTTTGGTTACTTTTCCATTTAGCTTTGGGAAAAAAAATCAATCAGATTTTTTAGAAGTGGAAAGGAATGTAGAACTATTTCAGCTCCAAACCCTCATTTTTTTGTGAAGAAACACAGTTATAGAGATATAAAGTGGAAATAGTAGACCAAACACTTAAGAATTTGAACTGCCTCTGGCAACCACAGAGTAGGAAGAAGCTGAGCTCTTCTTCCTCTTTTCACTCACTTTTACTCTCTTACTTCCTCTCTCGTGTCTACTTCCATGGGTACATACTGGGATTCATAGCTAATTTTAGAATTAGACATTTCTTTCTCTTAATTTGTGTGTATTTTATTTACTTTTACTGATGTTGATTTTATTTGTTTACTATCCAACCATCTAGAATCATTGGACAGGGACTATATAAAATGTCAATTTTATTATTGCTCCATTAATGACACTAATAAAAAGGCTAATATCATACATCTTTTTGGTAGAAGGGAAAGGGACAATGGAACCCAAGCACCATTATTTCAACAGTGGAGCAAGAAAATTTGGTCAGAATAGTTCCCCTTGCCTCCTACAAGGACCCATCTTTCTCCCAACCTTCTTGACTCTCAAGGAGGGCTGTGTAAATATACTCAGTGAAGCTGTGTTTACTTGGCCCTGAATTCACTCAGTTTGGTCTGACCAAATGCCACACAGCAGGCCAGCAAATGCCCACTGTGCCTGAGAATTAGGCAGTGTTTTTCCAGCATTTAGTAGGTGCTGTGCATATAGAATCTTAATGCAAACTTTCTAAGTGAGGTAAATACTGAAATGAGACGTCAGCATTTCACCAGTATTAGAAGCTTCCCAGAGAATGAATTTGCCTTTAAGTTCCCATCACTATGAACAGTTCTCCAAACTTTCTGTGATGTAGCAACAGTATTGCTGGTGATTGAAAGTATCATTTCATACAAGAGAACCACTTCTGAATTTTTTTAAACTATTTTTTTAACACATGGAATTACACACAATACAAAATACTTGTTTTACAAGTTGAAATCTTTACAGTTATGGGTACAGTTACAGTAATGAAAGGAATATTAGTGCACTCACTTAGAGCAGAGTTATTTATCTTCATTGGTCTTAACACAAAGCCAAGAATGAATTATTTGCTTAAATTGTTTTCTAGTCTTTGAATTAAAAAAAAGAAAAATTATTTCTACCTCCTGTATAATATGTCAGAATGATAAACAATGCCAACAATTAAGTAGTCTTGTATTTCTATAAATGGGAGATTGTATTCCAATAGCTTTTAGTTGTAAATCTAAAGTTTTTGGCTACATATGTCATCAAATTGTCATTATCTCAGCTTTCAGGAAAATTACGTCATCTTTGGTAATAGGCTGCCAACAAACAGAAACTATAGACTACACCATTTTTTCCAAAGAATCCTGTATTTTAATGAATAGCTGAATAAATAGACATTAATTATGAAATTCACATTAAGATAGAAGAAAATCCAAACATTCTGATTGCTTTATCCCTTAAGTTTGATAGCTACTACAAAACATACTATTTATGTTAGGGTAAAAATAAGCTGAATCACAGGAGTGTAACTGGGACGTGCTGGCAGATATATACAATAACATGGAAGAGCCAGAAAATAAAAGTGTTTATATGTACATAATTTTTTCCTTACTTTTTTGCATGGAGAAACACTGTTTTATAAAATGGGAAAACACGCAGTAGACCACATGCAACAAGGACCAATACAATGTGCACAGCAGAATAATCAAACGACACAAGAACTGTGGGCTTAAAAAAGAATTTGGGAGCAGGGAAAAAAAAAAGGAAAGGATTGAAACCTGGAATGCTTTCTTACTGAGATTTCAGAGTATAAATTTGTCTAACAAGCCTCTTGATAGTTTTCAAAAGTTCCCACTTGACCTCCAATGGTTTAAGTGTAGAGCTAAAAATAAACCATCATATTATACAAAACTTTGTATATTAGCATACAAAAGGTAACAATTTACTTTTTGTATAAAATATAACCTTTTGATAGTATATTTATTTCACATATGTATAAATATAACCCAAAGAATATGTTTTAAGTATTTCTACCAAAATATTCTTTACAAAAGTTTACAAAACAAGTAATTTATTTATATTTACAACCTAGCACAGAAAAGATTCTGGGCCAGTGCTGTTGGTATTGTGTAAAAGAAAGAGAGTGCTTCTAGACATTTTAAAGATTGGGAGAGGGCTTTGCAGAACTTTCAAAATGTATTCTTTTTAGAACAGATATTTAAAGATTTAGTTATTAAATGACTTCAGTTAAATTACATTTGATAGTTGAATATGTGAGTGTATAACTAAAAAGGCTGAAGATAACCTGTGTTCCTCCAATGAGGAAAATAATAGTGATGTTTTGCATCCATCCCAAATCAGCACACATCTTCCCCATTTTACAGCTGATTTGTATGTGGGCACTGAGGTTACAGGACTCAACAAAAACTCTTTCTTTGATACAGTGCTCAGCCCTGAGGGAGAAAACCTGGATATGAAGGGTCCATTTAGCATGTGGCAATGATTCATCACATCAGGGACAGAAGAATGAATAGACTGCTACTAACAGATCACATTCTATTTAGCTGTTTACCCAAGTAATATGTCTAAATAAGGACAGACTGTTTTCTCTCTCACTTATGCTTTCCTTCAAACCCCATGAAATAGAGTTGTAGGCACCCAGACCCACTATGTCTGGACCTGATCTTTTGCTTATTTCCAACCAAAACGTGATACCTTCTAATCTCAGTTTTGGTCTCCAAACTTCCTTTTCTTACAAATCAGTCTCTGGTCATCAAAATAAGCAGGAAGGACTAGGCTCAATTTCACGCAGCCGCAGAATTAACCAGCAGGCATCATCACAATAAGCAATACCCCAAGTTATTTGTGGCCAAATAAATCTCCTTTAGAGCAACAACCAACAGGGTGTTTTTTTTTAAATAGTAAAATCTGATGCAGACAGGTGTGCACTAATTTTTCAGTATGGTTAGGACAGGTCATGGTTGTATCTAAGAGTTGGAAATGGATTCAGAAATTGATTGCGGAAGACCAAATAAAACTGGACAGCTCTGCATTCTTGTTTCATCACTAGACACAGCATCTTGCTGAAGTACAGGACATGTGGGAAAACTGGAAAAGTGAGGAGTGAATTGGGGAAAAAATTCTAGAATCCACCGGATGTTCTCTAGGTTCTCCAGCTTTTGTTTACTTAGGACGCTGTTTGGTTACTCCAAACAAACCTATAACATTTCAATCTACGCTGGAAGTTTTAGGAAAACTAAATGAAAAGAGAAAACCATACTTATATCTATTAGAGCAAATTAAGGAATTTGTTGCTTGTGGCTTGGAACTAGTACCTCCATGTGACATGGGGTTTAAACAAGCTACAAGTTCTATTACTTTTCTTTCAGGGAGAAAAGGAACTTGGGATGCCTATTTTACACAACTAATTACACATCAACATCACAGTTCTGTTTGGATAAACTGGATACTGTGTCCTGGAGTTTAGACAGGGAAAAGCGATCCCCATGTCTTACTTTCAGGATTGAGATTTAAAATGAGCATTTGGACCAAAATGTTCACCACTACAGTTACTTTCTGCTTTTCATTATTAAGCCAAGGTATCTTCATGTAGTCCAACTAAAAGTCAACAGTTTGGCCTTTACAGAGTCCTTGGAGAATACTGCTTTTTAGTGCTTGGAGTTTGTGAATTGTCTCCCTTTTCTCCTTTAGGAGTTGTTCCCCAAGATTTCATCAAGATTGATGTCTTTCATCCAGTCATCATTACCAGGCTCTGTCTTCAATAAAGAATCAATGAAATCAGCATCACTGTTTAGGGCAGGGCCCATACTATCAGTCTGTTGGTTGAGAAAGTCAAAAGCTAAGTCATTGCCATGGTCAGTTCCTTGAAAAGCCCTGGAACTTTGGTTGGGTGAAGGAAAATTGCTGGGTGTCAGGGATGGTGGCTGGCTTATGCCTGTCCTTGCCTGACTCAATCCTGTTCCTGACTGGTTCAAATTAGGCAAAATCTGTGTGCTTAGCTGATTGGGTCTGAGATTCAGACTTCTGAGTGGACCCATGTTTTGTCCATTTAATGTTTGGCTCATTTGGTTCATGGGTCTCATTTGCACTGCTGGTGTTAACTGGTTAGGAGGAGCCACTGCCCTCTGGGAAAATTGCTGGCTACCTACTGCCTGTTGCAATGACTGGTTTGGAGTATAGGCTGCAGGTGTACCTGTGGGGAAGCGGACTCCTGTGGACTTTAGGGATTCCTGCTGTTTGGTTGTTGCTTCTTGAGAGGCCCAGTTTGGTGCTGTTGTGTTGGCTGTGATCATTACGTTCGACGCTCTCTGTGCTGGCATGCTCGCCATACTGTGGGTTAAATTTGGTCTCAATTGTTGCGAATTGCCAACAGGTCCAGCTCCAAAAGTGGCCACATTATTGTTATTAGTTGGCCCTAAGGTAGGCAGCCGTGGCATCAGAGGGCTGTTTTGATTTGCTATCAGTTGGTTTGGGTTTCTCTGTTGGGTCAACTGATTCATTCCTGAAGGGACGCTGTATGTGCCAGGTTGATTGCAAGGTAGATTTCCATACATCCCTATGTTCTGAACTGCTGTGGATAATGATGACATTCTTGTCCCATGGGAAGTAGACATGAGGCTGGAATTTGGAGTTAAAATGGTCTGTGTTGAAACTGGGTTTGCCAAAGCCTGGTTAGAGTTTAAATTCACTGTTGATGAGCCACCTAAGAAAAAGAAGATAATTATATTAGTTTATAATAGTAAGTTATCTCCTTTTTTTTTTTTTTTAAAGATTTTATTTTTTCCTTTTTCTCCCCAAAGCCCCCCGGTACATAGTTGTGTATTCTTCGTTGTGGGTTCTAGTTGTGGCATGTGGGACGCTGCCTCAGCGTGGTCCGTTGAGCAGTGCCATGTCCGCGCCCAGGACTCAAACCAACGAAACACTGGGCCGCCTGCAGCGGAGCACACGAACTTAACCACTCGGCCACGGGGCCAGCCCCAAGTTATCTCCTCTTTTATAGCAATTTGCAATAACCTTCTCTGAAACTGCTTTTGGAGATAAGAACAAATAAAGAGAAATAATCATCACAGCATATTATACAAAAGGAGCAAGACAGCTTTTGGGGGGAAGTACTACCCTAGGTCATCCATTAGTCAAGAGTTTACACATTACAGAAAGAAGACCAAAATAGAACGGTTCTATTTTTTAGGTTTTACGTCATTCCTCTTTTGCAGTCATTGAGGGGCGGTGATAGTCAATCTTTCATTTTCAATTAGCTTTACTCTGTTCCAAGACCAAAGACTACAACCCTGATTAACCAGCTGTCATGAAATCCATGCAACTGGTCATCCCAGGGTCCAAGTAAGAAAGTGTGGATGAATCTTATACACGGCTACTAGATTAATACTACAAACCTATGGCCTTGAAAATCACATCCAATTCTTCATTGACATTATCCTCATTCAAGAAGCTGCCACAAGTTGCTTCCCAGTGTCTAAACGGTAAATTCCCATCTCTTTAAACATCTGGAATTCAATGTAATCCATGCTGCAGTGATTATTTCCATATAGAAAGCCCTCTTCTCCAGGAGGTACAGTTACCATTGTGTTGTTATCCAACATACCATGAGCTACCTTTGCTCATGCCATTTTCCTCTCATGTGATGCCCTTCTTACCTCACTGAGCCCTATCTTTTCTTCAAGGCTCAGGACAAGGTTCAACATCCTTCATTAAACTTTTCCTGATATTCCAGGCTTCTCTCTCCACAGAATTTGCTCTTTCAAGTTTTCATTTAGCACTTAGCTTTTATATTGGGAAATCCATGGAGCCTCAAATTGCCTGCCATTTGAGTGATTGGATGTGGGACCGTCCAATCACAGGCTGCTGAATAGGGAGGCTCCGCACATCAGATAGTGATTAACCAACACATTGAAATCTCCCTGGCTGGGGGAAGTTAAAGTCATCATGGGAAGACACCTTGAGAGGCAAAAACGAAATGCCAAAATGATTTTTAAAAGTGCCAGCTAGATGATAAGTTCCACGAGAGAAAGAATTTTTGCCTGTTTTGTTCACTGTCACATTCTTCAGGTCTAGTGGATGGTGCAAAGTGGGTATTCACTTCATATTTATTGGATGAATGAATGAATGAGTAAATGAGAGATTGAAGCAAAGATACAAGTTGGAGAAAGAGACTCTTTTAAAGTAGTCTCCCTGCCGAGAGTGAAGCAGAGGCCCAGAGAATCAGAGATACTGAGAAACAGAGAACCAGACACACTTATGAATATCGGGGTTCTATGTGGAGAGGAGAGTATGGCTGCAATTGTAACCCTGCGGTACCTCCAACTTCTTGAGATAGCTAGCATGCTATACAACCTGACAGATGGAAGGCCTTGCTATTTGTTTTAAAATATGTCCCCAATTAGGCTATATAGTCCTCAAAGGCAGGAGCAGTCTCTTGCATCTCCTTGTATCTCCAGGCTTAGCACAGGGCCCTGCACTGTTTAGGACAGTAAGTGTCTGGTGAATAGGGATCAAAGTCAGGTAGGAGACACCTGAACCATAACTCCGAGTTCCCAGACTGCTAACGAGGTTAAGCAACATCATCTTGGTACCCGAAAGTTTCATGAGAAGGGAATTTACACTATGAAAATGCTATGAAAAAATATTTAGAGGTTTTAAAAATCCTTCCCTCTGGGTGCCCTCTATTTTAACAATATGCCCTGAGAAAGTTTATGAGGAGAGCAGTATTTTTAAGCAACCAGAATAGAGAGAATTTCCACAAAGATCACAAAATATTAATCAGTTAATATTTAGAAGCTCTTAATATGGGGTAGAAATTGCTCCAGGTGTTTTCCATACATCATTTCTAACATTAACATCTGGGTAAGGTGATTATTATTGTACTGAGATTAAAATAAAAAATGATAAAAGAGTTTGTGTTGTGCCTGTTGCTTATTTCATTCTGAGAAGACATGGGAAGTACAACACCCTAGAGCAGTGACTCTTACCCATTTGGAGGTCAACAGTTGGCTGCTAGGGACCCTTCCCTTGGGCAAATGCCCTTCTGCACAGTGGAAGAGACCTCTGGCTAGGTGCCTACCAAGTATCCAACCTCCCTGTCTTCCTTAGAAACAGAGCCTTGATTAAGTAGCTATGTGCCCACCTGAAAAACCACATTTCCCAAACTTCCTTGCTGATGGAAGGTTCATATGAGTAAATTCTGGCTAAAGGTAGAAGCTACTAGGTGAGAGTCCAAGAAACCCACTTTAAAAAGGGAATCTGACTGACATAGGAGGCCATTTTACCTCTTCCCTATTTTCATCTTTCTATTTGGAATATGAATATAAAGGCTGGTGATGCAGTGGACACAAGGCAACTCTTAGGATGGAAGCAGTTGGACAGAAAAGCAGAAAGACAAAAGAAGCCTGAATCCTGGATTACATGGTAGGCCATCAAACCAGCTTTAGACTACTATCCTTGGGATTCTTTTATATGAGTGGGAAAAGAAAAGCCCAAATATCCACCATGAATTTTGCATATTTCGAAGGGCTCCCAGCTTACCCCAAACCAAATGATAGGCCATGGTATAAGAAGCTGTATTCCAAATAAACCCCATCTTGTCTTTCAATCTCCTTGAAGACACAGTCAAACAGAGAATCCTGTTTTTTCCCTGAGGCAAAGTAATCTTAGAGAGTGGAATACATAGATCCCATTCCTAATTTCAGTGGTGAGAGGCAATCTGGTGCATTTGAAAGAGTTTTAAAAAAGTAGAACAACCTATTTATAACTATGCTCAACAAAATCAGAAAATATTAATAAACAGGAGTATTTGCAGCCCTTCCTTCTTTAAAGAATCTTCTTTATGGTTTCCTGGACAGATGAAGGTAACAGGTAAAGCAGAGGGAATTGGGGAACTCAAGGACAAGCTTAATTCACATGAGAATGTGAAGAGAGCTCTGGGCAGAAGAGACTAGTGTAGATGCTGAACAAAAGGCAGGAGCAGCATAGGCTAGGTTTGGGAGAGGTTCTTTCAGAGTTCAGAGAGTGGGAAGAGAGAGATCTCAGGGGTAGTGCCTACCACCTATTTTACCGAGAGACCTATTAAGAAGTTTTGCTTTGTCTTTTAATTGCAATCCACATTTGGTATTTTTGAGAGGCTTCGTAAAGACTAAATTTGCTTTTCAGTTATTTCTTGGTGACAGGACTATTTGTCTTGGGGAGATAAGCCTAAAGGTGGAGACAAGAAGCTTGGGCTTCATGCAGGTTATGAATGTGACTATCTAAGAGGGAGAAATATCTGTTTACCTTACACTACCTGGGTCAGGATATGTCGTTGCGGGGAACATGGTTGAACCTAGCAATTAGAAAATATTTTACGCTTTTTTGATCTCTCAGAGGTAGTCCGAAGAACAGTGAAATATGTGAATACAGGACAAGAATAAGCAAGAAAAACTGAGGAGAAGATTTAAAAATATTCAAGTTTGGTCTTGATCTAAAAGTTAAATGGGAACTGGTGAAGGATTCTAAGAAAGATGTTACAATCAAAGATGAGGCAGGGAAAGGAGGAAATATTAAAAATTGAACACTTTTTTCTTTCCACAGTTATAACTTTTGTTAATTTTTAAGAACACTTACCAGAATACTGAGCAGCTGGTTGCATATTGCCCACATTTCTTCTTTGGTCTTTATAATCTGGGGGCGGCCTTGTCAAATGTCTGTTTATCTGATCTTGTGGAGCAATTTTCTCCTTGAAAACACAAACGAAACATATTAAATTGCGTTACTTTCTCACTTATAAAAATTTATAGACTGTTACTCAAAAAACTAAGAACATAACAACAATTTTGCAGTCATAATTGTGAATCACAGACCCTTTTTAGTCATCTTAATTCAGAGATAAATCTTTTCAATTTCAATAAACTTCCTGCATAGAATAATTTCTACTTCTCAACATTCAACACGTGTTTTGGGTCTAGTGGCTACTCTCATTTTCTTTACTTTGCACTTAGATTTCAGTGAGAACTAAATTTCTGTGATTTTTGACATGGTATTTCTGGTTTTATTTTGTAGCACACTTGATATGCTTTGGTACCTATATATAATTCTGGTCCCACAGAGTGTGGAAGGCATAGGAGTAGGATTGCCAGATAAAATACAGGGCACCTGAGCATTCTATATTTGCATTTGCTAAATCTGGCAACCCTGTATAGGAGGAGATGCCAGGAGATGGTGTATCAGGTATGGGCATTATATGCATATTATGTCATTTTTTCATAAACAACCCTTGAAGGTAGGTATGATTATTTCTACTTTATAGATGAGGAAACAGAAGCTTCCCTGGGCTAAGTAACCCACCCAAGATCACACAGTGGTCGAACAGAAACCAAATCCTGAGTCAAAAACTCACTCTTTCCTGCCACACAATACATGAACCCCTTGCTGCTCCTTTTCTCTGTGCCCCATTCTCATAGCATAGAAATTTCTCAGACTCCCTTCTTTAATTCCTTCTGTAACAACCACCTTTAGATCTTTAGAGTAGGTGAGTTTGGGAGGTAAGAGAGGAAATAGGGGACATTCTTTTTATATTGTCAATTCCCTCAGCCAAAGACCACCAGGAACCTGTTGGGTTTACTACTCCTTGCAGTGAGGGAGAACGCACATCATGGGGGCCCATGGGGTGTCTCAGCAGGAACGTGTTAGAAAGAATCCATTATAGGATTTGGGCTTTGATTGGGTGATTTAGGGAGGGCCTAAGGAAGTGAAGATTTGTTCTAGATTTTAAGCTGTCAGAAAGTGAGTCTGATTCTATGATTGAGTAAAGAAGTAGCCGTAATTCATTTAGCAAAAGAGGGGGATTTTTGGTATTTTATGGGTTACACAGTGACTTTGTTTGCATCTGTTTTTAGACAAAATTATGAAGTGGCCTTCTTTTGTCTCATTTTATCATGGTCTCAGAGTAACCCTGTCTGTGGTTGGTATTCTGTAAGTTTGCTTGTGTTCAACAGAAAACAAAATGACCTGGCTGTGAGTGTCATATCAGTTCTGGACATCAGGGGCTGCTTTTTTTCTTTTTCCATATTGATTAGAAAGTTTTTAGAGTTGCTTCACTGCAACTTTGTATGCAACCCAAAGCAATCTTCATTTTTAAAGATAAAAATAATTGGCATAGGTAGACAGACAACAATATAATTACAGAAAAGTCAATAAATACAAAAGAAAACCTTGTAATAGATACATGGATAAATTAGATGGAAGCCAAATGTGGACTGTCTAACTTAGAACCCACTTAAACCATGTATTTCTCAGTTTCCCATCGAATTCCAAAACTTCTAAATAGAATAAATCTATTATAACGGAAAAAAAAATCCTTAAAACAACAACAAACCAAATTCAAATTCTTGTTTCTAAGAATAAAAACATCAAAGACCCAGAGGGTTTTGGGGGCATCAAGTAATTCATATAAAACACAATTTTGATGAGCTAAGTGTAAATGAATCAGAAACATATGGATTACATTTCTTTTAAATATGGGTTTACAAATTAAGGGAAAAAGTGGTCGGTGAAACTCTTTTTGGTTTTGCCCAAACCCTAAATGTTTAAGAAACAGTTTGAGATGTTCCATGAACCCAAATGTGGCGATGTTCAACCACTCCTGTTGTAAACTATTGTGCAAGCTGACAGTTTTAGTTTTTTTGCCCAGCATGTAACTTTCTGAAATCGCTTTTTCAAAAGCTCTTTCTTATGTAATTAGGTGTTTCTACTGTTTATATTGAAGAAAATAGGGTTCATGCGCGCCCGCGCACGCGTGTGTGTGATAATTAGGCCCTTGGCTCTCCGTTAAAGACTAGATTTCAAATCTGGACTTATTTTTATGTATATTCAATCTAATTATTGACTTTTCATCCCCCTGAAGGTTCAGTTAGGTTGTTCAAAGGGCTAACATACACATCTTTGGAAACTTGGGTTTCTTAAACTACATGTTCACAAATGAGTTAGATTTACCGGCCTTGCATATGGACTATCATAGAACTGCCATGTAGTCACTTTGTGCTGAAGAGTGGCAAAGACCAGACTCCACCACTGAATAGGGACTGCTTCATTTACAAGAGGATAATACTCCCATTCTACGCAAGTGTAAATTTACAAGCCACCCCTGAGATTACTTTTGAGCAACATGAAATTCAGCTTATCAAAATGAATGTCTCCTGATAACCCAATATCTTTGACCCGAAAACCTAATATAGAAATAATTTTCTATTGCACATCTCTGTCCTGCTTCAGTTTCACCATCTGCAAAATGTGAAATGTGGATAATTCTAGGACCTCCCTCATACTCCTATTGTGAGGATTAATCCTTTACATTCTGTAAAAGCTCAGCACGGTGCCTGGCACACAGTAGGTGCACAAAATATGTTGGTAATTATGATGCTCATTGTAATAAGTACTAGTCATCCCTCTTTGTGCTTCATTGGTGGGAGAAGGATAACACTTTCATGAGAAAATGTCTCAATTTAGTCGCCTATCTGGCCTTGCCAACTGACTGCAAATGACTACAAAGCATATGCTAATGTAAAGTGGTATCAAAGACTGTTTCTTCCTGGATATGCTAAAAAGCACAGGCACCCTCAATGGTGTCCAAACAAAGAGAAATGTGAATGGTTTATAAAAATCACAAAAACAGCAGCCTCATTCTCATTCATCTCTCACAGTTTATGCCACTGCCCTTAGCACCTGTCCCAGTGGTGACTCAACTGGGGCTCAGTGGGAGTTAGGCCAGTGCCAGGACAGGATCCTCACGGAATGTTTCCTTGCATTTTCATCAGAGCTGAAAATCCAGAAATTCAACCTCTGCATGTTATAATTCAACAAATTAGTAGTATTGATGGGAATAATAAGAGTGTACTTAGTAAGTAAATCTTAGATTGTACATTTTTTTCTTCTACTGCCCTTGTTTCTAAGCTATTTAGTTTATGAAATAAAAAAAAGAGAGTGATTGGGTGGGAGGACTGGAGTTTTCAAAATTATCATTTATAGAAGAGACTAGTTGTGTCACCTGGTGATACAGCCGGTGGTTCCCCTACACCTTACACTTTAGGGCAGTACTCAAGGGCACTCGTAAATTTATTTCTCACTATTCTTTATTCAAGGTCAAATAAATTTATTCCTCACCATTTCTTCTCACATGCTCTGGGCTCCAAACTCATTCCATTCGTCATTATTTAAAAAACATAAATGACTATTATATCGTTATTTATACTTTTCATTCAGCATAAAATATTTCATAATATGATCTCAAACTAACCAACAAATACACACCTAGGCTGTACCTTTTAGTCTCTGGCCCACCCTCCCCCTGGAATGATGGACCTCACCTCTATCCATCAGAAGCCTTCAGCCCTTTAAAGTCAAAGTCAAATTTTACCTTTTCTGGGAGACTATCCTCAATCTTTCCAGGCTGGATTTTATCTTTCCCTCCATTACATTTTCCCTTACTATGTTTATACTTTTATTATAATGCAAATCTGAATCCAATATTTCCTGGTTTAAAATCCTAAAAGTCCTCTCCATTGCTTTTTACATGATGTAAATTCAGATTTATCAAGCTCTTTCCTCTGGCCTTTCATCTCTGGCCTCCTTGCCTATCACTTCCCTATCCTTGTGCACATTCTCTGCCTCAGCAAATGTAATATGTAGTAGACATTATTGTCTCTGAGTCTTTGAATATGCTGGTCTTCTGGCTGGAACATCTCCCTGCTCTTCCTCCCAACTCCTACTTCACCTTCAGATATTCAGTAGATGTAATTTCCTCCCTGAAACCATTTTCAGTAGTTCCCACATCACAGCATTTAATCACATGCATTACAATTGCCCGTTTATTTGATGTCCCTGGGGACTCTTAGCTCCTTATGGACAAAGACAGAGTCTGTCTTGTTGATGCTGTATTCCCATTGCAAATTGGTAAATACTTACCGAATGATTTACAGTACTTATTACACCCTGGACTTCTGACTCTTACTATAAAGCTCTTTGAATATAAAATTTTTTTATTTTGTTTTTCTCTGTTTTGTGTACCTTGGCTCTATCAACCTTAAGATGGTAAACTTTGTCCCTTTCTTCTTTCATTTGGCCAAACAGTTTGAAAGGAGAGAATAAAACTTGGAAGTAGCGCCTCAGTCTCAAGGGGTGGGAAGGGTTTGGATCAGTTGTTGAGTGCATGTCTGAGACTACAGAAGGGACGATGAGATCAATATTGAAGCAGGGTTACGCTTGGGTCATATGTGGGAAATAACAACCTTGCCTTTCTTTAAGGCCACTTAAATATAGTGAAAGTGGGAAATATATTTTCAAATTTCTTTAAAAAATCCCCTATTCTGAGATACTGTATTTTGGAAGCCAAATCTTAAGTTTTGAAACTCCACGCTGACTTTTAAAACTGCGTTTAAAACTCTTTTATCTCTAAAATCAGTTTGGATATGAGTTGATTAAAGTTTCTGTCCACTATGTCTGCCCCTCAGGGCTGTGGAACAACACTGGTTTCTTTTGCCTGATTCAAATACCCATGTTGGTGGTTCTAGACATTCCTGGGCTGGGCAGGGCTAGTTAGCTGGGGTGCCATGCATTCCAACTGTCCAGCAGCTGGTAAATCAAGGAGTTTTTTTCTGCAGCACTTTACATGTATAGAATTAGCCTCTCTTACACCCACGACACCCTTGTTGTTGTCACATAGGTAGGCACAGAGAAAAGGGTAGTTACAGAAATGGAAAAGGATAGACTCCCTTTATTAGGCCAATAGGTACACAGAAATTAGGAATTTTACCGCATCAGCCAGCATCTGCTGCTGAAGGAGAAGTTGCTGTTTCTGCTCCATGATCTGCCTCTGTAGAGTCTGTTTCTTTCCCATCAATTGCTGATTCAACAGTGATTGCTGGGAGTTCATATAACCACTTCCAGTGTTTGGATTTGAGCAGGAGTTGGGACTTGGACTGGGGCCTGTGTTCTGGCCTACCACAGAGTGTTGATCCTAAGGAAGAGAAAGGGGTGAAAAAGCTACTGTGAATTAAAAGAAAAAAAATGTAGCACAAAGATCATAAGCTTAGATTCCAAACATTTTTCGTCTTGTTAAGATCAAACATGGTTAATGGGTTGGAGATCAGAGAATTGCTTTTTAAATGTAGAAGAAATAATTGCATATCACAACCAAAGCAGCTGGGTTAAGGACATTAGGGCACTGGAAAAGCTCCCTCATGACTCCGATGGTAGAACCTCCACATTCCAGAAGGCGTTTATGGAACCTCAAAGAAACCTACCATAAAAACTTATGGCAACCTTTCAATGGCTCGGGAACAAACACTTCATAAAGTAACAAGTTTTTCCTTTTCACTAAAGTTAATACATATCGTGGCTGATCCTGCAATGAAAATTATGTTTCAATTCATGTGTTTAAAAGTTGAATAACCATTTTAGACAGAAGGGACCTAGCTTTCTGTGATAAGGCAGGAAGATCTGTGAGTTTCTATTTTACTAACACTCTGAACCTTGGAAGGGACTTCACTTTTCAGAGAGTTGCTAATTTTGCCCCCTGGTCTGCAAGTCAGGAAGCTCAGTATGCTAATCAGTAAAAGAACACCAGACCAACCGACAATGAGAAAGTACTGATTAAAAACTCACGTTGTATATTAAATAACACTGGGGAGTTGCCATTCTAATTCGAAGTCTCTATCAATCTTTAGGCATTGAGAAGTCAGGACCCTGCAGGGCAGAAAGCTAAACCGAGTCAAATATTTTCATTAATTCCCAATGATGTGTTTAAGATTGAGCCGTACACTGTTGGGGTTACAAGAAAATTAGAAAACATAGTCCTCACCTTAGAGAATTTATCATCTGATAAAGGAAGCAATTACACGCTTACAGGTAAAAAATAAGAAAATCTAGAATCAGGCTTTAGATTATATGATACAAGTACTAAATCAAAGATCCTCACACTTTGATGATATTCTTGCTCCAGGAATTCTGAGGCTGTAGATCAGGTACATGCTCAGGTAATTCTAATGCTCATTGGTCCAGGGAATGCTCTTTGAGAAACACTGGATATGTGGGAGCAATAAAACCCAACTCTCATTCCCCCGCTGGACTGTGTGAGGTTATAAGACATTAAAACGATAAAGCAACCCCCATGATGCTTGATGAGTAGTAGTTGGTACTCCATTTGTGGACAGTCTCTTCCCTTTTATCTCCTTCTCTTTATTTAGTCATCTGCTGAGCTAAAAAAAAAAAAAAAACGGATGCCACCAGTCCAATGCCTGGGGATATAGGAAGCCTGCCCATGCCTTAGTAATCCCCGGGGTTACAGAGCTCACCAACTGTCTCAAAAGCAAAGGGATAAAATAATTCTAAAGATGACCATGCACTGAAGCTTATTACAGGTCAGTCACCGTGCTCAGTGCTTTATATGATTTACCTCGTTTAATCCTCCCAACAAAACAATGAGCAAGAGCTAGTATTACCGTCCTGATTTTGCAGATGAGAAACCTGGACAAGTAGTGAGGAGGATTTGAAGCCAAGTCTGTCTGACTCTAGAACTCCAGTTCTTCATCACTATAGTCTATTGTCTCTCACCTGAGTCAAGAAGCATTGAGGAGAAAGATTTTCATACTTTAAACCTGTGCCAACCCATCTGTCCATGCAGAAAATGTTGATTGGGCACTCCCTTCGGAGGTGAGCACACTCAATCAGGCACATGGAAGCAAGTGTGTTGGGGAGAAGGGCAGGGGTGTGGGGACTGGCAGGGGGGTGGTCCTCCCATCAGTTCATTAAAAATAATTGGAGCCATCTCTGAGGTAGATGCATCTTCTAACATATCTGCACTCAATGTCCAGTCAGCTCTCTTAACTTTAAATCCATCATGGCTCTTAGGCAAGATTTCACCTCACATGTCCTACAAGCCACTAGGAATGTGGGCCTGGAGACAGGCACATGAAGGTCATTAACAGAATGGTAGTAGATGGAGATCTGTGGTCTCGGAAGGCAAGTGGAGAAGGAAATACATGGAGGACTGAGTGATGAGTCTTTGGTCCACTGACACTAATGAGAGGGAAGCAGAGCCTGGGACAGGGAGAAAGGTAGGATTAGAGAAGTGTAAAGACAATCAGAAGTGAAATTGGAGGAAATCAAGGTGAGAGAGAATATATTGGAGGCAATGGTTGGCCAACCACTCTCTACTTCAACCAGAATAGAAACAGCCTGCTTTTTTATAGGATATAATTTGGAGTTCAGTGCAAGATTTTGTGTGAACAGAGCATTTTGAAAAATGGTTGACAAACACACATAGAAAAATTGGATGCACTTTTCTTTCTAGCCCACTTTGCATGGCCATACAGTGGACAAAAGCACGAGCTCTGGAGACAGGCCTGCTGTGATTCATATCCCACTTCTGGCGCTTATTAGCTGTGTGATCTGGGAGAGGTTAATTCACCTTCATAAGCCTCAATTTCCTTATCTGTAAAATAGGAACAATAACAGCACTGAATTCATAGGGTCCCTGTGAGAATTAAAGGAGATAATACAATGCTGAAAATATTAGGCACGTAGTAAGCACTTAACAAAGGATAGCTGCTCATAATTGTTAAAGTTATTTCAATACATAGGAGCAATAATCTATTTTTTGTTTGTCTGTTTATTGTGAAGCAAGGGAGCCCAGGCCTTGCAGATTGGAGAAAGCTGTTCTATGCGTCAACTCTGTCAGAAATGCAGAGGTCTCAGTTACCCAGCTGTAGACCATGAGCTACATACGGACTTGGGTAATTACCTTCATCTTCCTACCTGGAGATGTCAGAAGATGAGCTGAGCATCATTCTCTGATGGACTGTCTTTTGGAGTTAGGGGTTCATCTCAGGGCCCTGATACTTTGTTCTTTGCTGTGCTGTTTTTTATTTAACATCCAATCGTTTATTAGTAGCGCAACCAATATACATTTACTAAGTATTGTGCCTTAATTTCCTCATTTGTAAAATGAAGGCAATTATATTAACGACATAAAATTAGACCAGATGAAATTTAGAACAGTTCTAAGCACTTAGTAGGTGCTTTATAAATTCTAGCAATTAGCATTTTTCTTATTTACGTATTTTTGTATTATTTTGCATATGAAAGAGATGTTTTCGAAACAATTATCTTTGTGAAAGAGCTTTGCTGTAAGTGTACTTGGATTGCAGGTGCCATGTGTTTCGCTCCCACGATGTTTTAAACACAACTTGGCCCTTGTGCTCTGCAGTTGGCCACAGTCCCCACGATTCCTTATTTTATTCTATCCACCCAGTTTCATTTCTATTACTTGCCTGGCCCATGTAGGCATTTGAGGTTAGGATCTTGGGCTTATAGTTTATTTGGGAATCTAAGATACACACATCACATACCCCGCATACACACTCACTCAAAGTTATTGCAGTAAAAAGCAAGATATAATTATTTCCATCAGGTGGTATGATACCTACCAGTGCCTTAAGATTAAAACCCAGATCTCCTAATGCCCAGTCTAGTTACCTAGGCATCCATCCCTCCGTTAATGACTCTGATAAATTTCACTGAATATCAACTATGTGCTAGGCAGTTTTCTATTTTCTAGAGATTAAAAAGTATTTAGAAAAGGGAAAAGTGAAGAGAAAGAAAAGAGGCAGACAGAGTGCTTAATGTTGGCAGAATTGGTGAACTTCATCAAAATAATTTCCAGTGAAATCTGGAAAACCATCCTCCTCTAAAATTTTTAAAGATCTGCATGCCAAGAAAATGCAACTATGTCTCTTTATCTCTCTAATCAAACAGATGGATTGTACTAAATTTAGTTTCATTCCTTCACAATACCAAAAGATATAAAAATAAGAGATAAGCTCTGTTTTGGAATTTTGTCGATTTTTAAACCTTGTAACTTCTAGCCCATGGGCCTTACCATGCACTCTACCATACACATTCTTTCAATCTTGATTAAAGTAATATTTGGCTGCTGCTACATTTTTTTGCCCTTATGTTAGCTATGAAACACAAAACACCTCCTTCACAGGCTTGTTGTCATTGCCAAGATGTTGTGCAAACTTTAGTACATAAAATATTTTGAAAGAAAAATATGCTCTGATGTGTTGGCTTTGATTTCCATATTCAGCCTCACTCTTTGCCTGATACTCAGCCCATGTAGAACTTGACTTAATAGAAATCATCTGTTTCTCCCTCAACACTCATTTTCCCCTCAAGAGTTTGTGAAGGCCATGGTAAAAATGGCACATCCTCAGCCCGTAGATGGAAGTGTGTGTGTGTGTGATTGTGAATGAATTATGCTATTTCCATTGACGTAGTCTTTTATATGATAGAAAACTCAGTTTTCTAGAGAAACGGAAATTAAAGATTGAATTGGCAGCAAATAATGGCCACATGACTGATTCAAATCATGAACTTGAATGATCTTTCATTTTGTGTTTTCTTTCCTGTTTCTACCAATAAAATTACAGTATTTGATGCTAACCTACGAAATAGGCTTCTGATCCTATCCTACTGGGATTTAATATAAATTTACATTTAATACACACTTATAGGTTTCCATATCTATGTGAGTGTGTGTGTGGGTAGATGTATTTAAGATTTTAAAGTCATTTCATAGTATTAGTTAAGCCACTGAGTTTCAGTAGTATGCCAGTGCTTAAATATGGTTAAAACTTCTTGATTCTAGTTTTAATCCAGCACAGGACTGCTAGACCAATGAAGCGATGTCTGTATTTTTTTTAATAAAGTTCTGCCAATAATCAAGCTATGTCTTTAGAATTATTATCTTCATTTTACTCATATTCATTCATTTAACAAATATTTGTTGAGCACCTACTATGCATCATGCATTCTTCCAGGCCTTGGAGATCAAAGTCCATGCAGCCTGCTGGAAAACTCCACAGCTTGTCTCTACTTTCAAGTTTTCCAATTGGACTACTGATTGGAAATTTATCTTCCAGAATGATCTCAGGATGTTAGGAGTCCATTTAGTAA